TACTATTAAAGAGTGCAGACAATTGGTGGATTTTACAAAACAAAAGATAAAGGTAATATAAACCAAACTGATGCTGATTATAAGTATGGAGTGCCATTTGAGATCAAAGTATTAAAGGCATAGGAAGACGAAACGAAACAAAACAAGAACACTTGCCTTTTACTCTTGCCCTTATAATTGAGACACTTTCACTTTGGGGTTACAATATTACAATGGCAACCACCAGAAAAGCAACAAAAATAGCAGAGGGGAAGAGAGGATCGCCAGAGCAACCTGCAAAGAGTTACACCAGATTTACTTCAGAAAATGTTTGAGGAATTGGGCAATAGGTTAGCTGAATCACTTGACACTAGTATCCACTAAATTATTGGATACTAAATTGACAGCTTTTGAAAAAAGAATGGATCAAAGACATTTAAAGATGAACGAGGAGATGAAAGAAGAAGTCAAGAAGGTGAAATTCTGGAGAGTAAGACGGAGTTATGGACAGAGAATTGGAAAGAGAATTAGGTAATTTGGCACTACTGGAACTCAGACAAAATTTTGTTTGAGATTTAGAGCAGTTCCAGAGGGTTCTGGTGAAGATATTAAGAGAAAAAATTATTAAAGCTTTAGCAATTTTTTTGGATTGAGATGAGGATACAAAGCAGAAATTGATAAGATATGTAGAATAAATACAAGATTTGCAAGAATAAGAAATGTTCCAAGGGATGTCTTGGTACATTTTGTTAGGAAGAAGGCAAGAGGTCAAGTTTTGCAGCAGCATTTTAATACAAGACTGAAGATTGATAATACAGATGCAATTCTTCTTAAAGAAATTTCTATTAGAATCCTGCATAAGAGAAAACAGTATTCTTTTTTGACTGATAGATTAAAACAAAAAGAGATTCCACTTTGATGGGATAAATTGGAAGATGCAATTTTTATTTTTAAGCAGCAGAGGTTTCGACTGAATTCTGTCCAGAAGGCGAGGGATTTCTAGAAAAATTTAAAGAGGAATTGCAGGAGTTTCAAACAAAGGTGTCAGATGAGTCTACACAAAAACTTGCAGGTGCAACAGGAAACTGAAAGGGATAATACTGAACTAGGCACTAAAAGTATCAACTTTTTAAAAATTTTGGCTTGATTATGGATTACAAATGCTTAATGTGGAATATAAATGGAGCAAATGCTCCTCAAAAGAGAAAAAAAAATCGTTATATGGCCAAATTGACTTCTTTGATTAGAGAAAAGATAATATCTATGTTTATTGCTCACTGGAAACCCCTTATGGACTTTTTGCAGAAAACAGAAAAAAATGAACTTATGATGTATGGTTTTGAAGATTAGACAGGATAGATTGTAGAAAGAAGAGAGACATGTAACTTTAGAGAAAGAGGTAAATTTGTAATTGTACTTATAACTGCTTAAAAAGGAAAAGGGATTATTGGGGGCAGGAGAAGAAGTGCTGTGTATGCTGACCAGGGCCTATGCAAATTATTGAGCTGTTAAAGCAGCAAAAAAAAAGGGGGGGGGGTAACCCTCTCTAAGGTTGGAAAACATGATATCCTTCTACTAATTAGGGCTTAGAAACATTTTTTCCCAGTAGGGTATCCCTGTGTAAATCTACTTTCTGTGAATTATCAAAAGATAGTGAGGAAAGAACAGGTAGCAATATGGGAGTATTAAACATTAAAAGAAGTGGCTCTAACAAGTGGCAGCAGAGCAAGAGTACAGTGTACAATCTGTAGGCTACCACTTCGTTCCTTCTAGGCTATTTCCACTTGTTCATTCAGGCATTTCAGTTTTTATAGTCCTTAGCATTTATGGTGCTCTACATAAATGGAGGTCTGAATGAAAACCAACAAAACTGGGAGAGCAGATGGAAACTCTGGCTAGGAAGCCCTTTGCCTAACTTTGCCTAACATATGAGTTGCAGTCATTCCTAGAACAGAAGGCATTGGCTGTGCTCACTCTTGCCCTTGCTCATGGGTGGACTGCTGTCATGCATTCCACATGGGATTGCCCTTGAAGGCCACCAAGAAGCTGCAACTAATGTAACATGCAGTGGCCTGCATTGTTAACAAGGTCAACCTGATATTGTCATAAAATAGCAATTTTGCACTGTACTGGTTGCCAGTTTGTTTCCAGATGCAATTCGAGCTGTTGGTGACTGCCTACACAGCTTGGGTCTGGCTATCTCTCAGGCCATCTACTCTAAGTAGAATCTGCTGACCAAGGTCTGCCTGAAGAGAGTCCTTGCTGAAAGGTCTCACTCTTCACGAGGTACAATAGAAGAGGAGATGAACATTCGCTGCAAGAGCTCCCTTCATGTGGATGCCCCCTCCAGATCTACACTCTCACTTGCAACATTTGGAAAACTGCTAAAGAACTGGTTGTTTCTAAGAGTGTTTGAGAATGGAGGAAGCTAAATACAAAAATGTGAGGGAATTCCTGGAAGTTTGGTATTCAGACAAGGCAGGCTGCT